TTTCGCCGCATTCCTCGGACCTTATGAACAGGCCAACCTGTTTAAGCAGCAGTGCCGCGTCTGAATCAGCCAAGTTCTTTTCCCGGTCCGTCAATCCCGGTAGACCATACCTGTCATGGACACGTCCACGCAGTGGTCTTGGTCCCGGCTGTTTCTGTCTCAATCGACTGACCGTCCGGCATGGAGGCCCCCCGATGATGCCCAGAAGTTTTCCCAGGCTTGCAAGTTTCTAAAGGAAACGCCATGTTCCAGGATTGTGTAGATCTTGGTTTCGGCCTTCAGTGATATCCAAGGTAATGACTTCAATCCCATTGATGGGATTCCTTCGCCATTCCTTCGCCTTTTCGCCGGCAAAGAGGTGGACTATAACCCCTTTTGAGGTAAGCAGCCTCCGTCTTTTGTGCCGGTTCCACGGCAAATCATGGTTCATTTGTGGATCTTCCTCATCTTGACGTCGCATGTAGGTCCAGATTCTTGCCGGTGTTTCCTGAAATCGCGATCCCCACCACTTCTTGGTCTTCTCCGTAGGCTCTTCCATTGTAAGACGGTGGTTGGTCCTCTTCTCCATCTCCATGTACTCAATTTCAGTGATCAGAGCCAAAGCGTGATCCTTCCGAACCATCCTGACCTTAACCAACATTCTATGTTTCCTAGCCTTGGATGCTTCACCACACATCCAGCACGGGACCACGTGATGGTGTAACCCAATTCCACCAGACCTCGAAGAGGAACAATTGGTTCCACCGGCCCCTCCGATAGGAGTGTTCCATTCAAAGGGTTCTGATAGAGCTGAGTAGCTCCATGCGCTAGCTCCACAGTGACCTGCACCGCGTTCTTGATCTCCTCAGTTGATCCCTGTCTCAGGGGGTGTGTCGCCTCACCGTCCAGTAAACCTGTTCCCTCATCACTTTCAACTTCGAGATGATCCCCACCATGCCCCACCGACTTCAAGACCGGTCCACTTAGACCCTTTAAAAGGTTGGTCATTTCTCCTACAACCTTATTGGTCTCATCTGGTACAGGGGTAATAGTGACCATGGATTCATTCATCGGATTGATCTTCACGGCAGGTTCAGGACGTTCTTGAGCAGCACCTCCTTCTTTTCCAGGACCATTTTCTGTCCTGGCCAACGAAGACCAGACTGCATGGGGGTGAAAGCGTACCTGCAATTTTCCAATTTATCGTCAATGGCAACTGGCTAAGCCCAGAACCGGCAAGTCGAACAAATGGAAGATCACGATTTGGTTCAGATGGAAATGTTGCATCTAGCAAGGACATAGAATGATTACCTTCGCACAGTTTTTGACTCCTGGTCATCCAACTACTCCTGTCAGGTTTAATGGGACTGTGTTTTGCACGTACGATGCATTCCACGTCAGAATTCGCAAAGATTGTTCTGAGCAAGTGTGTGATTTATGCCGGATTCGTCAAGGTGGCATGAACCCTTCGGGGAATGCTTGTCTAAGCAAAGTGTGGATGCAACGACCTGATGTCTGAATTTACACTTTTGAATTATTAATTCGTTTAAGTAAAGTGAAACTGCCGGCCATTTTTCATTGTCTCACACGTCGGTCGAGTGAGTGTTGAACAGTGTGCCGCTGTGACTGGCCTCGCCATTTCTGCAATTGATCGTTTTCTGCATAGCTTGAAGCCACGACAACAATTTCTTTTCCAGCTTTGCCCAAGAGAGTACGGAGCTCGACCATTTAACATCATTTCACATGATCAGGAAAGGCGTCAGGACATGCTTGCAGGTATTGTGACTTCTTTTTTGGTCGTTAGTGAGGTTCAATTGTGCAAGTAATTCAGGGGTTGACGACGTAAGCTGTCCATGGGGTTGACTTGAATACCGAGGGCCTTGAGCCTGATCACGAATCTTGCATGATATGTGGATGCATCTTCATCAACTAGTCCCCCATGGGTCCCTTATCTCATGTGTTCTTGCGTCCTCCTCTCTACAGGTAGGTTGGGTTCTGCGCGTGCTTAGGTAGGTGTAGGTTTCGCTGTGGTAGGTTGGTTCAGGCGCGTCCGTCGTTTTTCCCCCCTCCGCTGGTCTTGTTCCGTTTCCGTCTGCCTCCGCTTTTCTTTTCCCTTGCCTTTTCAGGGTTGCCCGTTTTGGGCTAGGTTTCATGTGTTGGTGTTTTCTCCTTCCCTCTTCTTTTGCGTTCCCCTCTTCGCGTCCTGGTTAAGTAATTTTCATCTCATTTTCATCTTCATCTCATTTTCATTTCCTCTCTTCTTCATTATCATTTCATGGTCGGGGCCTTAATTTTCCACCCTCCTGCGGGAGGGTGTGTGTGTGAAACATCTGAAAAGATGTAAAACTTCTACTGCTCGGTTTTTCTTTTGGAGTACTTAGGATTTTCATGTTCCATGTTCTTCACTACACGACATACTTCCAGCAGGGGGCCAGGAACCCATGACTGTCTGTCCTGGCCAACGAAGACCAGACAGCATGGGGGTGAAAGCGTACCTGCAATTTTCCAATTTATCGTCAATGGCAACCGGCTAAGCCCAGAACCGGCAAGTCGAACAAATGGAAGATCACGATTTGGTTCAGATGGAAATGTTGCATCTAGCAAGGACGTAGAATGATTACCTTCGCACAGTTTTTGACTCCTGGTCATCCAACTACTCCTGTCAGGTTTAATGGGGCTGTGTTTTGCACGTACCATGCATTCCACATTAGAATTCGCAAAGATTGTTCTGAGCAAGTGTGTGCGACAGGGAGGCGGCGGAGAGGGAGGCGGAGGAGGACGAGGAGCGGGATACAGAATCAAAAACAAGCCCACACAAAGACGTCGGGAAAAACTAAGCTTTCAAAACACTAAAAAACCCGTTCGCAAGAGGAACCCTTTACCTTTGGAACATAGTGTCACAATGCGATGATGTCTCTGTGACTCTGCCTCTGCATCACATTGTGAACCCATATGAATTAATAAGTCTTCACATGAACACTTCCTTTTTGAAGGGCTATGTACTTATTTTTTTCGCGGCATGTTTTTTTTTGGGGGGGGTTCCTGGTTCTATGTTTTCCTGCTTCTCTGCTTTTCTGCTTCTTTGTTTTTCTGTTTTTCTTGCTTCTTTGCTTTCCTGCTTCTCTGTTTTTCTGCTTCTCTGCTTTTCTGCTTCTCTGCTTCTTTGCTTTTCTGCTTTTTGCTTCCCTGTTTTTTGTTTTTCCTGCTTCTCTGCTTTTCTGCTTCTCTGCTTCTTTGCTTTTCTGCTTTTTGCTTCCCTGTTTTTTGTTTTTCCTGCTTCTCTGCTTTTCTGCTTCTCTGCTTCTTTGCTTTTCTGCTTTTTGCTTCCCTGTTTTTTGTTTTTCCTGCTTCTCTGCTTTTCTGCTTCTCTGCTTCTTTGCTTTTCTGCTTTTTGCTTCCCTGTTTTTTGTTTTTCCTGCTTCTCTGCTTTTCATGCTTCTCTGCTTCTCTGGTTTACCTGCTTCTTTTATTTTCTGCTTCTCTGCTCTCCCTTTTCTTCTTTGCTTCTCCGTTTTCCCTGCCTCTTGTACTTCTGTGCCTTTCTACTTCTACTATTCTACTTTTTCTTTTCTTCAGTCATGTGTTTTTGCTGCTGTACTTCCTGCTCCTCTGCTTCTTTGCTTCCTGTCTTTACTTTTTTTTTTCTCTTTTCTTTTGATTTGTTCTCTCCTGTTTGTATCCAAAAAATGAAACCCTGAGGGCCCTGGCCCCAGGTGAAACCCAAAGAAACCCTAAAGAAATCATAATAAGAACCCTTGATAAGAAACCTCTACATGAAACCCTAAATGAATCCTAAAAAACCACAAATTAACTTTTAAAAAATCATAAATGAAACCCTAAGAAATTTTGAATGAGACCCTAAATGGCATCCTAAAGAAACCCTAAACCACACTCTAAAAAACACTGAATGAAACCCTGAATGAAACCCTAAATGAAACCCAAATTGAAACCCTGAAGAACCCGTAAACGAAACCCTAAATGAAACCTTAAAGAAACCCTAAGAAACCCCAATGAAACCCTAAAGAAACCCTAAATGAAACCCTAAATGAACCCTAAAGAAACCAAAAACAAAAAACCCTAAAGAAACCCTAAAGAAACCCACATGAACGTTTGACAATCTTGGTAAGAAACCCTGATACGAAACCCTACATGAAACCATAAATGAAACCCTAAAGAATCCCTAAATCAAACGCTACATGAAACCCTACAGAAACCCAAAAAACCTAAATGAAACCCTAAAGAAACCCTAAATGAAACCCTAAATGAACCCTAAAGAAACCAAAAACAAAAAAAACCTAAAGAGACCCACATGAACGTTTGGAAATCCTGATAGGAAACCCTGCATGAAACCCTCAAGAAACACTAAATGAAACCCACCCTAAAGAAACCCTAAATGAAACCGTAAAGAAACCCTAAATGAAACCCCAAAGAAACCCTAAATGAAACCCACATGAACGTTTGGAAATCCTGATGAGAAATCCTGATAAGAAACCCTCAAATGCAACCCCAAATGAAACCCTACATGAAACTCGAAAGAAACCCTAAACCGACCCAAAGACACCTTAAATGAAACCTTAAATGAAACCCTAAAGAATCCTTAAAGAAACCCTACATGGAAGCCTAAATGAAACCCTAAATTAAACCCTAATGAAACCTTAAATGAAATCCTAATGAAACCTTAAATGAAACCCTGAATAAAAACTTAAATAAACTCTCAAGAACTCTCAAGAAACCCACATGAACGCTTGAAGTACCAAAATGTAGCAAATACCATACAAATGAGAGGTTGAAGTGCCAAAACGTGGCAAATATTATGCAACATGGAAGGCGAACATGGCCAAATGTAGAAAATGCCATGCAAAGTTCCAAACTATTGCAAATACAAGGCAAATGGTATCAAGAAAGAAAATTCCCCCCCAAAAAAGTCCAAAACCTGAGCCCCAAAAATCCAAAAACTATTCTGAACCCCTTCTTTTTTGCACTTCTTCTCGCACGTGTGCACAGACTCAGAGTCTTCTCAGGTGCAGGTGCTGCACATTCTTGCCAAAGGCGTGGCGGGGCGGCGCAGTGGCCGGTGGCAACACGCTGCAAGAACTTGCAGGGGCTACTGGAACAGCGCGATTTTTAGTTCGGGGTCTCGAAAGGGGGCTTTAGCGGCTAGGTTTCACGTAGTTTCATGAGTGTCATTGGTTTCAGTTTTCATCCAGTTTGAGATGCCAAGCATATCCAGTACCTGGTCAGTTCATCACTGCTGTCCACGGCTGCTTCCTCCCACCCGCTGAACACTATAAATCTCCATGGGCTGAAAGCTCGAGTTATCCTTGTCATTCATCATTCATGATGCGTCATGCTTCTTCCCTGCAACGATTTGTTGGCCCTGTCGTGCTTTCCAAGTTTTCCGATGCAACGCCAGTGGCGCTCAAGTGGTTGTTGTTCGCATTACGATCCAGGGCCTTCCGGAACGTTTAAGCCATAACTGATTTTTCGCGTATATAGGATGAGGTGCGTAAATTGTATGGATCACAATCTCAAATGCAAGATGAGGGAAGTCAGCAAACTTGCTTGACGTCGAACGTAGACAACTATTTTGATTCGGATTGGTATTTTTGTCACAATATATTTGCCGAGACAGAGCGCATCCCACGAATTGCCTTTCATATAGAGAGCTTTGGAAGAACTAGAACGTGGATTTTGTGGTTTGCACGTGGCTTGGCAGGCTTGGTGGTTTTGGACACCCGGGTGGCTGCCAATGGCGCCGTTTGGGGAGAAGATTTCGTCCTCGCGGATGTGCCATTGATTCAGAGAGTTGCAGGCAGGGAGCTGAAAATAACGAGGGAATTGAGAACAGGACGGCAGGACTTTGAGGAAAAGAAGTTGCGAACCAACCACACTGAGAGGAACAAGACAGAATTCAACTTCATGAGGGCTTAGGCTTAGGCAAGATGAGTGGTTTCACGAAATCTGAGGTCGATAAGTTTTAATTTTTCTTATGAACTGATCCAGCCATAGGTGTCAAGGTGCCACTGTCCCTGAAACAACCTGTAGATTGCGCACACACACAAACCTTGAAGTACAGACTTGAAACGGCCACTGCTACAGGCTCAGCAGATTCAAATTATAGCAAATTAGCTCATAGAGCCGTGAACGCCATGAAACCTGTGAACCACCATTTTAGATATTCTTAGTGCTTTGAAACCGGTATACCGGTGAAATACTTCTGTTCGAAGCCTGCGCGGCTGCCAGCTGCTCAACTGGACTGGCAGCAGGCTTTGCGTTGACCTACGTGGAGGTTCTGTGTCTCAAGCGGGAGCCCCTTGGAGTGCCGGTCATGTCATTGACTCGTTGACTGGGACGTGGTGGAATGTGCTCGGGAGAAACTCTTCGCAGGTGGTTCAGTCAAGTGCATTCCTTCTGTGGATTCTGCCAGGAACGTTCAACATCGTTCAACTTCATCAAAGATGAAAGGAATGCTGCGCCCAACTAGTTGGAAGGGCACAGGGTGCAAGCGTTCATGCAGAACACTTCTGAAAAACAATGGGCACACCTCCAGAACTGATTGGTGTTTCAATTCAAGGGCTGCAGCGCCTGCCGCCGACCCCTGGAAGGAGCTGGAGACCAAAAACGATGAGACAGAAAAGAAGACGCCACAATTTTGCCAAAGAAACGTTGCAAGACCGAACCAGGAAGAAGAAGAGAAAATGATTTATGACAAGTCTTGTTCGAACAAATGCGGGAGAGGTCAAAAGAAGTCAAGAGGTCTTTTCACATGATTTCTTGTAGACACTAGAACTGAGACAGCAAAATGTCAAAGCAAAAATGATGCAACCGTTTGTGATGGTGATGTTGAAAAAAATAACATTGAGAAATTAAGGGTTAAAGGTTAAGAGTTGGGGTTATAATAAATCGTGAAGCTTTGCCGTGCTTCATGCGCTGCTCGGCACCATCCTGTCCCTTCCCCCCACAGTACTGCAAGCCATTTACGCAGAAACGGCACTCCGCAACAAGACCCCTCAGAACACGACAATACCAACCAAACACAAATCATTTTGCACGGCCGTCATTACTCTGAGGGTGCTTTTTTTTCCGTACTTGCTGGCCAAAAACTGCATACCAGAGAAGTTTGTTGAGTAGTTAGGCCCGAGACAGTTTTCAAGAACAATGGCCAATGACATGCTTGCAAGTTAGCGGCAAGCACCAGGCGCGCCACCTATAGGCAGCCGAGCACACCTGCAGAGCAAGCAAGTGCAGTGCCCATATACGCGTAAACGTGCCCATTCTGTCACGGTGCCGTTAAAAGTAAAGTGCAAAACTGGCCAGGTCGAGCACCGTTCTTGTGGCAGTCGGTTTCGTGTCCGGGCTGGCGCGGTTTCTAGCTGTGTCTACAAACATATGCATACATGCCCCACATGCGGGACAACCGTGTCGACCGCCCAGGACGCAGGCCGAATTCAAATAAAACATTCAACCCCAGCTGGCGCCGAGAAAGATGGCAAGTGTAACAATTTCTGCAGCCGTCACTGTGCGAGCCGGTGGCGCTGCCAAACGGCTGTCTGCACTGACCACGAACTAGCCCCAAAGTGCAGCTCACTCCTTCACCACAACGAGAAGGCGCGCCAGTGAAGAACAGGTGCCGGCCAACAAGAACATGCAGCTCCCAAACAGAATGCCAGTGAAGGCAGCTTCCAGACCGCAAAAACGCTCCCCCAGTGAATAACGCTGCAAACACAGCAGCCCAAAGGCATCCAAAGCGCTGTCGCCGCAGAACATTCGCCCCATGCTCTTGACGGATTGGGGCGGGCCTTGCTAGATTATTGGACCGTGCTCCTGCTGCAGCTGTTGGAAACTGGCTGGACGGTGCTCTTGCTAAAAGTGGCCGTTGTAGCTGTTGCAGCCTGGCCGGACCGTGCCCTTTGGTGGTTTTCCTTTGACGCGCTCCCCCTTGCTGCTGGCTGGCGTCGGCAGATATATTGTTAATTCATGCGCAAAATTGCAGATTAAAACCACACCATTTTCATGCGCGTCACACACGCACACATATACCAACACACCAACCCACCAACCCACCACCAACGCCGAACACACCAACACACCAGCACACCAGCACAATCCAACGCACACACGCACACACGCACACACACACACACTGCTTAGGTCCGTTGGTTGATTAGGAATGTAGAACTTGCGGATGCCTGATTCCTAGGTGACCTCCAATCAGGACGGACATGCGAAAACACAATCTAGCTATCAATACCTGTGGACCTGCGACAGCCTGACTGCAACGGCTGGGAAAAACACTGTTTTCGAACAGGTACACGGTCAGGACGTCTCCAACCGCTTCCCATGATATCATTAGCTCCGTTGGCCAGCGTCGTGATGTCATGCGCTGGCCCCCTGCACTTATTGAATTAGTGTAATAATCTCCGCGTGAAATAACGGGGTTGACACACACACACACAAGCCCTTTTGGGGCTGGTGATTTAGAATGAATCCAACCGAGCAGTTCAGATGTAGTCCCACCTTGACCTGGGCCTGATTGCACCAGCAGTTTTGCTATGCTTTGACGGGTGGACTAGATCAAATGCTTGACAACAGGGCTGCATGAGATGCTGAGACTACAAAGATGCCAGAGCCGACACCATTGGGACCCCGGCTGCGGTCACACCTTTTGTCTGATTCAACTCAGGTTTGGACTTGACTTGAAACATGCCGTTGAACTGCGGACAACAATGCTTCTGATACAAGGGCAACCGCCCGCATATGGCCATACCACCTTTGAAACAACACAAGTGAAGGACATTTTCCCACTGATGTCACTCCACATAGTGTATGGTGGGATCCAAATCAGTTTCTCAACAAGAGAACCAGCAGGACACCAAGTCTTGTTGTAGGCAAACGCGGGATTCTGCATAGAAAAGGAGCGAAGGAAAAAACACACACACACAAAGACACAAAGACACAAACACAAACACACACAACACACCCGACCCACACACCCACACCCACACCCACGCCCACACCCACACCCACACACGGACACGCACACGCACACGCACACGCACACGCACACGCACCGCCACGGCCCACGCACCCGCACCCGCACCCGCACCGCACCCGCACCCCCACCCGCACCCGCACCCGCACCCGCACGCGCACGCGCACGCGCACGCGTGCGCACGCGCACACGCACGCACACACACGCGCGCGCGCGCACGCACACACGCACGCACGCACGCACGCACGCACACACACACACACAAGCCCTTTGCGGTCGCGAGAACCGCCTTCAAGGTCAGTTCATTCTGACCTAGGTGACTACTGCAGCCGTTTCCCACGTGTGTGTTTTCCCCAGGGTGCCATAGCAACTGTGAGCAAGGGGTGGCTCCCGACTCATAATCTGGCCATATCTTTACAATATTCTTTGAATTTCTTGGACTTGGTGTGGCATCTACATTGAATTTCCAACAACGGGACGGGGCACCCGATTGACTGACCCCTGTGCATTGACAGAATTTTCTTCCCTGCTGGCCAAAGCACACGCCCTTGGTTGAATTTTCTGCAGATTCTTCTTTATTCTCTATACAACTGAACACAGCATGCACTACAAGGAGCGGCTTTTTTGGATATATACCATTCTTAGCTGGATTCTTTACAGCTTGGTTCTCGACGACCACAACCCGGTCCCAATTCCGGGGACAACCTTGGATCAACCTGGATTCCAACTTTGTCTCGACACGATGCGCCAGCGGTCCATCCAGGAATTTGGTTACAATGCAACAACAGGTTGTCAGGGTGAGGGTTATCGTGGCTCCACAACCACGATACAAGCAGCAGGATGCGAAAGCACATTCATTGACCATTTTGCAAAAGGTGGACAACCACTTCCAGAGGACTACGGTCCAAGACAGAGGACACCTTCCTATACAGCAGTTCAGAAACGCAGTTTCAAAAGGGCTTGTAAGCGGGCATTGAGATATGGCTCTACGATGTATCATGGCATCATTTACACTCCAGCAGACTTTCCTTCACAGCTTTTGGACAAAATGCAGCGGCCGGCATGCAATATCAAAGAAAAGATCAACCCGATGCCCCAGCACCGGAAGGCGGCTCGACTGCGCCTCCTTTGTTGGAACTCAGGTGGCATGTCGCAGGGGAAACTCCTGGAGCTACGATTGTGGCTATGTCATCAAACCTACGACATCGTCATATTGCCAGAAACGAAGTGGAGCTACAACCGCTGCTGGGAGGATGAAAAATGGCACTATATCCACTCTGCCACCGAAACCCCCAGGGTCGGCGGCATTTTGATAATGATTGCCAAATCCCTCATCTCAGCAGAGCACATTGGCTACGACGCCGTTGTCCCTGGACGTCTACTTCACGTCCGCTTGCATTATGTGAGACATGCCATTGATTTGATAGCAGTCTACCAACATGCTGAAGCGTCCAGCCATCACCACATTCAACAACGGGAAATCTTTTGGAAGACTTTGGATGACCTTTTGTATCGTGTCCCTCACAGGAACCAATTGATATGTGGTGGAGACTTCAACTGTGCTACAGCCGCAATGCCCCCATGGATCGGCACGAGCACCTTCAAATGGAAAGGCCAACATTTTGCAGGACATCAACATCGGGACATGCAAACTCTGTGACAAATTTTGCAAAGACATTCCTTGACTGCAGCCAATTCCTGGTCCGCTACCACAGGACCGTCATATTTTCATGGGGATTATGCAGCTAGGATAGACTATTTCTTTTTACGTTTACACAGTTGCGATGGCATCTCCAAACAGGCACATTATTTACACCATGCGGATTTTTTACCTCTCAATCAAACTCATCATTTTCCATTAGTTTGTACAATCCCCAAAAAACATATGATTTTTCAATCCAAACAATTTGCACCGGCATGCAGCTATCGTCAACGGGCACATTGCCGACATGCAAGCGAGCAGGAATCCGAGGGATGGCTTGCTTTGAGTCAAGAAGTTGCACATCATTGCAATCGACACTTGAACCAGGCGACACATTCTTGGACCTGCATCCATGACCTCCATCAAGACATCATTCCATTTTTCCAGCAACTTTTTCCAGGTAAACCTCCTGTTTTTCCATGCACTGAACAAAGTGCAGTTCACGGGCCCATTGAAACCAAATGGAAACATCGGAAATGTATTCAAGTCATATCACATCAACAGGGAACACATGATATTCATGATTGTTTGAAGGCGTGGTACCATTGGAGCCGTTTTCGAACCTTGCAACGACTCCAACAACGGAGCATCAGGCAGGCCAGAGCTCGACGTTTTGCCACACTCTGCACTGAAGCAACAGCCGCGGCTCAAATTCATGATTCTCATACATTATTTCAAATTATCAATCGACACTCTCCCAAAAGACAAATCACGAAGGCCAGATTGAAAACTGATGATGGACGCATTGCTGATCAATACATGGCTCATGCATTGACGGTCCAACATGTGCGGCAGACGTGGCAAGGCCCTGACACCTTGCAACCATTTTCTGATCAGCCTCCAGGGGTTCCCATGGAAGTATGGGACATTGAACAGGCCATCATGACTTTACACCCAAATAAGTCTGTAGCCAGTCCTTACCTCCCAGCCATCATTTGGAAGAGTGCTCCCAGAGAATTGGCAACCCTTATCCATCAATTGTTGACCAAATGGTGGTCCTGTGCGGTTCCTTACATCCCGCCGGAATGGCGAGATGCCTGGCTTTTCTTTATTCCAAAGCCAGGAAAGCCATGCACGCATCCGAGCCAATTGCGTCCTATTTCTTTGATGGAACCGATAGGCAAACTGGTTTTAGGAATCCTTACGGAGCAACTGAAACGTTTTCACCTGGTTCAATTGTGCAGTGAACCACAGTTTGGATTTCTTCCCAAACGTTCTGCTTTGGACGCAATAGCCAGAGTTACTCGACATTGCAACTTGATTCGAACCTTAGTTGCTTTGCAGCGCAGAACTGTTGCTCGACAACGGACCACAAAACCTGAATATGCCTTTTGTGGAGGCCTCCAATTGCTTCTGGACCTCAGACAAGCATTTGATACAGTGAACAGACCACGTTTATTTCAATTTTTACAAAGAAGAGGGACCCCCATTGAACTGCTCCACATCATTTCCTCATGGCACATGGATACACATGACAACCTTATTCACAATAATTCGACTACCAGAATTCCTGTGAATGTTGGGCTTCGACAAGGATGTAAAGCCGCCCCCATATTGTGGGTGTTTTTCATGAGTCATTTTGTGGAACTGCTGCAAGAGCACATCGACCCCAGTTGGCTGCAAGAGGCACTGACAATGTACACAGACGACCTGCATTTTGGGGCCACGTTTTACAACAAAACAGAGTTTCAAATGGCCTTGACTCGACTGGGCCGAATCCTGGATGTATTGGAATCCATGCAACTCCAGCTGTCTTACGACAAGACCTTTGTCATATTAGCCACAGCGGGTTCAAATGTGACTAGAGGACTTAAAGGAGCAGTCGAACGTCGAAAGGCAGGTATGGTCATCTTGCTTCCACGTGCGGGACAACAACCCAGCGCAATACCATTGAGAGCATCTGGAAAATACCTGGGCATTGTCGTTTCATATGGCACATATGAACAATTGACATGGAGGCATCGCATGAAAGCTGCCAGAATTGCGTTTGCTCGATTGAGATGCTGGTTCAAGAGCAAACAATTTTTTGCACAACATAGAGTACATCTCTGGATGGTTTGCGTGCACTCAATCATGACCTACGGTCTACATGCCACCAACGTGACAGTGAAGGTACTCCATGAATATCAACAGCTGGTCTATCAAATGATGAGACAGGTCTTGCATGACCACGCCTATATTTCCAGGAACACACATCAGCAGGTCTTTGACCATTTTGGCATTGCGTCTCCACTTGCCCTATTGGCCAGTCATGTTTCCAATTTATGGCGACGGCTACAAAGGCGGGCCCTGACACTGCCATCCACGGATTTTCTGCACAATGTGGATTGGTCGCACTTGCCGGGATTGATTCGACTTATTCAGTGTGTCGCTGACACAACCATTGAGGCTCCAATTGCTTCTGACGCGGCAGCACCCGTCAGGACACAGGCCCTGCACAGATGCCGTGCTTGTACCTTTACAACCTGGACAGTTGCAAATTTACGCAGACATCAAACACAACAACATGGATACAGCCAATATAGAACATCACCTATTTCACCACTTGATTTTGCATTGCATGGACAACCACAATGTCGAAACTGTCTTCAAGTTTTCACCACATGGCGTCGATTTTTTATCCACATTGAGCGCAACTGTCGCCAGGTCATGACAAGTCCTGCCGATGTGGCGCCTGGAGCTCATACACAGGATGGACACAGACCCATGTCCTCCATGGACAGGCCTTGGGATCGACATGTCAGCACAGAGACACATCCCTTAGGGAACAGGATGCCTGCACCCATTGCTGCAGAAGCCCAAATTTTTTGGCCATTGTTGCGTGAAGTGGTGCAAACCTCAGCATACCATCGATTGCAAGAAGACCCACAGATTGGCAGTTTTCTGGCCCACAATTGTGTTATCTGCGGCACATGGTGCAATCGGTGCCAGGAATTACACAGTCATTTCCGGCTGAACCATCCTCATCAGATGCCAGGCGTTTTAGCTAGAGGGGCCCAAATCACCCATCAGATTGCTTCCCCAACACCGTGCGTGCTCTGCCAGAAGCCTTACAAGAGAAATCATAGCTGTCCAGTGGCCACCCAAGTGGCTTGCTTGCAACTGCATGGGCAGGACTCCAATGCCAATCCTGATGCCCTGAGGACCTGCATCATATGTGATCTCCTCTTACCGGATATGGCGCAATTGCATCAACACCTTGGTCGTTGCCACGATCTCCAGATCCCAGATTGGTGCCCAGCCAGAGACTCCTTAGAGGGGTCCAGTGCATGTGCGCACTGTGGCGCTACCTTCGAGACACAAAGTGGCTTGCGCCGTCACATATTGGACGGTCGCTGCGAGCGGTTCAACCCGGCGGCATCACCGCAACCACTGGATGCGGCCACAAAATGGACTGAGGTCTTGCAGCAAGGAGAACTGACCAGGAGCACTCTGACTCCAGCCCAGCGCCAAGACTTGACGCTAGTATGTCAGTTGTGTGGGCAGCGCTATGGACGCCAAAATGATCTTGGCGCACATCTCCAACATGCACACAGTCAGCTCTGGCAGGCATCACAGGAAACACTCAGATTCCTGATTCAAGCGGTCCAAGCCAAACATGGGTGTCAATGCAATCCCAGCTGCCATGAACAGGGTCGTACACATGTGTGCACGTTGCTGCGTCAATTTTCCATGATCTTCATGCTCAGTCAACAAGAAACATTGGTTCCGACGCAGTATCTCCCTGACAGGTTGCAGGTGTGGCTACAACAAATTGAATTCTTACCCATGTACAGGACGATCCATGACACGCTGTACACCAGACAATTTGAAGATTTGTGGCAGCAACCGGGCCTGGCAGGTTTTCTCAGCACTTGGTGCGTTCAATGTGGCCTCCAACATCATCCAGCTGCAATTGTGGTCCATCACTGGCAACAACATCGGGACAACAGTCAGTGGGCGGCCCAGATCAAGTACCAGATTGTTACCAGCATGTTGGGGTTGCAAGATCAAGACACCACATGCAATTTTTGTGCTCAACCAGTCAACTTGCCGACAGATCCTGCCAATGCACTGCAACCTGACCGCTTTATTGCACTGCAGATTCATTTTGCCTCAAATTGCCCCGTTGTGCATCAAGCTGCGCAACTTCTGCTTCCACTCGATGGACGAGACGATGCCAGACCTGGATCCGAACGACATGGAGCTTTTGGCCTCCTTCCGGGAGCTGGGACCCCTTCTGCAAGCGGCCAGCCGCTACCAAAGAGACCTAGAAGAGGAACCCCATTCCAAGCGTCCCAAACAAGAAGTGGGACACGAGGAAGCCAAACCAGTGGCCGTCCAGCCCCAGGTTCAGGGAGCCATGATGGGCATGATGAAAGTGATGGCCAGGTTATTGCTCCAACACGAACGGAGCATACAACTGCTTCACAGACAGGACTCCTTCGTTTTTTATGCCCAAGTCAGTCCACAAGGCGCAGTCCCTCTGCTGACACAGGCGGCCGTGGAATGGAAGGACTTGCACCAGAAGAATCCCGGCAGTCTGAAGGTACCTACCCTCAGAACACACCTCATGAAGACTCTGACGAAAGAGATCCACCGCAGGGTGCAACAGATGAGCAACAGCAGCAAGGGCACAGAACTATGGGACAGAGCAGTAGACCGAGGAGTACTTCTCCCAGACGGGTCATGGCCGTACCAACGCTGGAGTCACACAGATCATCGTTTGATACCAGCGGCCAGACCGCCCCTGCCGATGGCTCGGCTCCTGAAGCAGCTTCAGCACATGGAAGAGTTGCTGGAGGATTCCACCCATGTGATCCGATTCCAGTCCCTGAAGGCTCAGCCTACAGTCATTCCCTGGTACCTCCAGATATGCATGCGGACGGACGAGATCTGGTTGATCCTGACCGAGCTCCAACAGCTGGCGATGTGGAGCCTCCTGGGCCTGACATTGAAGGCACACCAACAGGGGCAATGCAAGCAGGCCCAGCTCTTGCAGCAATGCCTTCAACAGAATCCCAGCAATGCCAAAGGCAAGGGGAAGGGGAAAGCCCCGGGCAAGCACAAGAACCGCTAGACCCTGCAGCTATCCGAAAAGCTTTGAGACAGGCCATTGGAGACCTTAGCATGGAAAATAGCGGGAATTGGTGCTATGCCAACAGCGCCGTTCTAGCCTTTTTGTGGGCCACTCTGTCAAGGACCACTTTCCAACTGACAGATTGGGGAGAATTCTCGGAGCTGTTTCAAGATATGTTATCACAACCAAAAGATACACCACTTGTGCTTGAGCAATTTCAATGGTTTCAAAGTCTCATTGCATCCTGGTCAGAACGACATGGCCAAGCAGACAGCACCGAGTTTTCCAACATTCTTTTGAAAGGGGTCGCATCATCCAGCACCTCCAATCGCTGGGAACGCAGGGTATTTCAGGAACAAAGAGTTGAAGTGCATGACATGGGAGACCAATTCATGCCCATCACCATATCGTTGGATCCTGAACTCACTGAAAATGGCTCCATCCGCCTTGTTGACTTGATCAGGAACTGGCACAATGAGCTTGGAATGAGTGCAGGCCTCATGGACACTGCTGACCTCATTTGCATCCATGTTGACCGCTTCCTCAGGCTGCCATCAGGCCAAGTGACCAAGTCATCAACGCCAATTGGATTTCATTGGGGGATACTTGTTCCTGTCTTCACCCATGGCCCTGACAGTACTGACTGCAGTTGGGAAGGTTTTCAGGTTGTTGCGGCCACCGCCCACCTTGGCTCCTCAGATGCTGGCCACTATCAATGCATTCTCAAAACAGGGCATGAGGCACGTGCCAACCAGGAACCTGCACTTTGGCTTCACTGTGACGACAACAGGACGCCACAACCCTGTTGGTACTTGCCCCCAGAGTTTGCAGCAGGCGCCACATGTTTCTGGTTATGCAAGTGTGATTCATTGGAATTACATGACATGCGTGAGGACACAAGTCATGAGGCGGGCACGACATCGAGCACAGTTGCATCCGACCACCATGCCATGCTCACCATGCTGAACAGCTTGCCGACCTGACCAAAGCCATGCTTCTTGCCAGAAGCACCCATGGCCTTGACCCCCAGGTCAAGAGGACCCTTTTCATGCCCTCTGCAACCCAGAGTGTACCCCTGTCGGAAAGGACCCCAGAAGATGTCAAAAAAAAAATCATTCTGTTGCTTAAAAAAAAAATCGAACTAGTTACGTTTCACCGCGGTTTCACAATGACAGGGACTGGCTATCTGGTTGCAGCCGTGAGACAGCCAATTGTTTCACCTTTATTTTGCATTACCTCCGTGCTTTGCTTGCATGGGCATTTTGCCCCAAACCTGCCTAGTCGGCGATCCAAATGTGTGACCTTCAAATTGATGTGCCATTTTGGCCTTGGAATACCTTGGGCATTTTGCCCTACGATGGAGGCATGTGGGCATTTTGCCACTGCCTTGAGCCTAGCTGGCGCCTCCAAAGATTGTTCCGCTTGGTGACCTCTTTTGCGATTTATCAGACTCTGACACAGCAGCCCGTGCCACCCATGCCCCTGACCCCCATGCCACCCTTTTCATGCCCTCCGCAACCCGGAGTGTACCCCAGTCAGAAGGACCCCAGAAGATGTCCAAAAAAATAAATAAAATCATTCTGTTGCTTCAAAAAAAAAGGGAGTGGCGACCATAATCCTCCCTTACGTTTCACATGCCATCCATTGCAGCTGTGCCACTGTGTGTCCCGAAGATGGTTGTAGCAGATTTCTGAGAGCCCATCATCCGGGTGCCCTTGCACCTTTTTTCAAGTTTGCCGATTTTTTCCAAGCCCTGACTGCAGCTGAGTACCATGTAACTGCAGCCTAGATCCGACCCAATAGTACTGCAGGAGCTTGCTGACTGACATTTTTTACCCACTGATGTCAGACAGCTGAGATGTGGAAGGATCCTCGCCGGTAGATTCTCCAATGAGAGAGAACCAGCATGGTCAAAACACCATTGCTGAAGTGAGCGCCAGATTCTAATCAGAAAAGGAGCGGAGAAAAAAACACACACACACACCAACATACAAATGCACGGTCTTGTGCCTATAGTGTCCGCTCTCATTATACGGCTATGCAGCTTTGCATGCCTTAGCTAAAGGCACGTTACAAAATGCTTCAGGGCCCAGCAGATCCGAAGGAACGTTTGTTTACAGGCAAGGCACAGGTTGCTTGGAAAATGGACAGAAAACGACCAAAGAACGAAGATTTGCCAAGAAATTTCAACACGCCAAAACGTTTTCAGTTGCTGGCTGAGAAGACATGTTCTGTCACGTGGTGCTAAGGAGATTCATGGCAGTGATCGAAAAGCGCCGAACACTTTGCCCTGAGCTTGGGCAAATTGTGCGACGCTATTGCGTCCGCATAGCAGTGCCTTGGCTGCAATCGCGTTCTTTTTAATTTTCGCTCCAGTCCAATCAGCCTTTACTGTATGGTTCCTGGGTTGTGCTTGCATGTGTTCATTGCACCCATCCATGCGCCTCTGATTTTCTTAGTCGACTCGGGCAAGCAAGTCTTAAACAAGTCCCATTTTCCGAGCCCAAGGTCTACCGGGGCATCCTGGCAGAAGCACGACGGCTCAGGCTGCTAAAGGTAGAAGAGACCAGGACTGTTGCGACTGTCGCGCGGCCTTGTCACACACATTCCAAGAGACTTCGAACCCAGGAATGTTTTGTCAGTTTTTTTTCATGTCGTTGCTACCATTCATTGTGGTAGCCCTGAGAGCCCTGCCTTCGAGTGTTCGTTTTTTGTCTTCTCCTGTTCGCAGAGAGGAAATAACTTGAAGCGAGGTTACAGATGGTTCAGGGAAGATGCCGCGGAGAGTTGGGTTCTTCGTCGAAATCGTCGTTTCCTGCTTCTTGTTTTTCTTCTTGTGCTCCGCAGGCAGTAAGCCACTCCAGAGGTGAAGTTGTCCAATGCAGATATAACCGTTGCAGGTATGCAAAAGCGCACTCTGAGGGTGTACCATTCCCTTTTTTAGACAATGTGAGGTGGAGAAATAATGTGAGGTTGAAGAGGTGGGACTTTGAGGTAATTCCCAAGAGCGATTCTGTTGGGTTTCAATCTCTGGGGCGGGGAGTGGTGCCAGCAAGATGCATGATCCGGAAAACCGGAACACTGCTGGAAACTTCCGGGAACCTCTGCTAGAACCTCGCTGTGACCTTGCTGGAACCTTGCTGGAACATTGCTGGAACTCTGCAGGAACCTGGTGAAACCTTACCTTGCTGCAACCTTACCTCGCTGGAACCTGCTGGGGCCTTGTTGGAACCCTGCTGGAATTTCCTACCTCTGCTGGAAGTCTGCTGGAATGTTGCTGGATGTTGCTGGAGCCTTGCTAGAGCCTCGCTGGAACGGTCTGCCTGAACCTGGTGAAACCTGGAACCTTGGTGGAGCTTTTGTTGGAACCTCGCTGGAACCTTGCTGGAATCTTGCTGGAACCTTGCTGGAACCTGGTCAAACCTTGCTGGAACCTGGCTGGGGCTGGAACCCCTGTGGCTGGAACATCTTTTTGGGAACCGCTGCATGTGTGGACTCGACATCGTTTTTCTTTTTCCCAAGAGCGTCTGAGCAAAGCGTTCTTCTAATAGTGGGGGTCTGTCAAACATTTTCACATCGTCACATCTTCTCATCCTCACATCCTCACATCTTCACATCTTCTCATCTTCACATCCTCACATCTTCAAATCTTCTCATCTTCACATCCTCACATCTTCACACTTCTCATCTTCTCATCTTCACATCTTCTCATCTTCACATCTTCACATCCTCATCACATCCTCACATCTTCACATCCTAACATCTTCCCATCTTCTCATTTTCACATCCTCACATCCTCACATCCTCTCATCTTCACATCTTCACATCCTTACATCCTCACATCTTCACATCCTCACATCTTCACATCCTCATATCTTCACATCTTCTCATCTTCACATCTTCTCATTTTCACATCACATCTTCACATCTTCTCATCTCACATCTTCTCATCTTCTCATCTTCACATCTTCACATCCTCACATCTTCACATTCTCTCTTGCCCTCATGCTCTCTTGCCCTCTTGCTCTCTCCTTCTTTTCTATTTCTCTCTTGAAGGCGCGGGGCAGTGCCAACGAGACGGCGCGAAACGCAACCCTTTCGAACGAAACGACGTTCGATCGCCAAAAACTGAAGTAAAGTTGCGATTTCCCGCGTCCGGGCGCAACCCTTTCGCACGAAATGAGGTTTGATCGCGAGAAACTGAAGTAAAATTGCGATTTGCAAAACTTCTGGCGAACCTTTTCGCACGAAATGAGGTACGGTCGCCAAAAACTGAAGTAAAATTGTGATTTGTAAAACTTCCGGCGAACTTTTTCCACGAAATGAGGTACGATCGCCAAAAATTGAGGTAAAGTTGCGATTTCTCGCGTCCGGGCGCAACCCTTTCGCACGAAATGAGGTTCGATCGCGAAAAACTGAAGTAAAATTGCGATTTGCAAAACTTCCGGCGAACCTTTTCGCACGAAATGAGGTACGATCGGTCGCCAAAAACTGAAGTAAAATTGCGATTTGCAAAACTTCCGGCGAACCTTTTCGCACGAAATGAGGTACAATCGCCAAAAACTGAAGTAAAGTTGCGATTTCTCGCGTCCGGTCACGAAACGAGGTTCGATCGCCCAAAACTGGGGTAAAATTGCGATTTCACGGGTCCGATCGCAACCCTTACGCACGAAATGACGTTCGATCGCCAAAAACTGGGGTAAAGTTGCGATTTCTCGCGTCTGGGCGCAAACCCTTTCGCATGAAATGAGGTTCGATCGCCAAAAACTTAGTAAAATTGCGATTTCACGCATCTGGTCGCAACATTTCGCTTCTGTGTGTAAAAGATTCTGTGTGTGAAAGTGTTTGTGTGTAAAAGCGTCTGTGTGTAAAAGCTTCTGTGTGTAAAAGTCTCTGTGTGTGAAAGTGTTTGTGTGTAAAAGCGTCTGTGTGTAAAAGTGTCTGTGTGTAAAAGCGTCTGTGTGTAAAAGTCTCTGTGTGTAAAAGCGTCTGTGTGTAAAAGCCTCTGTGTGTAAAAGCGTTGTGTAAAAGCTGCTGTGTGTAGAATCTTCTGTAGGTAAAAGTCTCTGTGTGCAAAAAGCTTCTGTGTGTAAAAGCATCTGTGTGTAAAATTGTCTGCGTGTAGACGGGTCTGCGTGTAAAAGCGTGTGTGTGTGTACCATCTGAACAGATGTAAAACTTCTGATTGGTTTTCACTAATTTGCAGGGGGGTGCAGAGCACAGTGGAGACTGCACCCAACGAAGCTATCCACTTGTGCTGGAAGCAGAGTCTGATCAACTCTGTGTACCTGCAAAATTTGGTCTCAACTGTTGATCAAGCTGTTACACTGCGTTGTTTCGAATCTACACGGTTGCCACAATCTGTATTGCATGCATCAGAACCTTCCTCAGATTTTCGCCGAAACCATATCGCCGACAGTATTATGTTTTTTGACTTATTTTCGCCGAGACCCTGTCGCCGACGAACTATGGGTTATTTTGGGAAACAATCGCCGAAACATTATTTTGGATTTCCACATGCTGGTCAAAACTCTATGGAATCTGGTTATGACTACGTTTGACAATTTCGGATGCCCTACATCGTTTGCGAGAAGTATCTCATGTGGCTCTTTTATTCATCTAATAATCTAGGCTGGTTTGCATGTTTCAGGATTCAGTTCCTGCCGGATCATATAATGATCCATTCTTGTCTAGTGTGATTTCCATGGTGGCTCCGACATGGTGCCATGGAGCCATTGGAGGCAACCCTCTTCAGGGTGAGTGTTGACAGACTTGAATTCTGAATTTACACTTTTCAACTCAGTAATTCATTTAAGTAAAGTGCAACAGCCAGCCTTTCGGTTATTCGCCTTTTGTGATGTCCCGCCGCTCCTATTGTCCCAGGGACCCCAGTGCTGCGTTCTTTCAAGGGAAGCCATTCCGAATGTTCTGAAACCTCCGTTTTTTGCAGCTGCTTTGCAACACCGTTGCATCAAATCATGACAGAGAAATCAGGCAGGCACACGACTTTCAGGTGTGGTGATCCTTTCTTTTGATGGTTGTCTGGTGAGGTGAAACATATTGTGCACCTAATTCGTTGGAACTTGAAAGCTGTTTTATGCCATTGCGGCACGACTTGACCACGGTCCCGGTGCAGGGAATAATTGCACGATTTTGTAGGTAGTTAGGGACTGAATCCTGTATGTGAAACTTTTTACAATTGTCCACTTTTGTTTTGACCTACTGAAGCGATGCATCCGTGGAACACTCCAACATCATGGCCTGCTCCACCACAGCCTTCGAACCCATCTTCGACGTGGCCGCAATCGACACCGAGTGCACATTTATTTGGACATCCCTCGGCTTTGCATCCTACATGGTCATCCTCCCGCTTCGCTCATGCCGTCTACATCCGCCCCAACATCGTTGCCGTTCACCTCATTGACTTCGGCTCCTCATGCAGTACCAGGTCCACAACTTGTACCCACCATGCCTTCACCTTTGGCTCCTGAACCAACTATGGTACACACCGCTCCGTCGACTTTTCCATCTCCTATGGCACCTACCGCTCCACCCGCGTGGCCTTCCACTTCGGCTCCATCCCCTACATCGACTACACCACCTACATCGACTATGACACCGACTCCTTTGCCCAGTTCTCCATACCCACCTCACCACATTCAACCTCCATTACAGATGGACGCATCGACGATCCCTCCAAATGAGCCTTCACCACGGCCCCCAGCAGTCAAAGCAGCTCCCAGGCATCGCTCTGACAAAAGACCGGATCGACCGCGCAGACCAGCTCCGAAAACCCCTCCTCACGCTACACCATCGACACCTCAGACAGCACCGACTTCATCCGTTCCACCTGAACTTGCATCCCTGGGTTCCACCGCACAACAACTGGCCGAATCTGTTCGACTTATCCAAGCTCAGCAACTATTACTCATGGATTCTCAACGGGCACACGAACAACGTCAACTCCTTCTTCAACAAGATGAACATCCACCGAATCCTACACCACAGATACCGCCACCTACACCTACACCACCACTGATCGCCACGCCTCCACCTGCACCAAAGGCCAGACCCACCGAACCGGACGTTCAGGACCATCGCATTGTCCCAGCTCCAACCATCGCTCCTCCTCACCAACCACACGGTCCACCACCACCAACACGCCGACCACGATCCCGAACTCCAAGATCACGTTCCCATCGACCTTCTGTACATTCCTATCGCCTTCGCCATTCTCCTCCACGTACAGAGCGACCTCGTTCTCCTCTCCCTCGTCATCGATCATCTACGAAACCCGACAAGAGCCGCAGAACACCATCTCCATACAGACGACGCTCACCACCACGACGCCGCTCTCCTGTGGTCCCTCGACGTCACCGCTCCCATCCACGCCCACGCTCCGCGACACCACGTCACCGATCCCGAGGCCGTGAAGTCATACTTCGACCTGCTGCAAACCCATCCAATCCGAACTACATTCCTACTCCTGATGCTGATGACACCTGGGGTACATGGAACGAAAGCCACTACAACGACGCCTACGACCACCACACTGCTCGACCCAATTCTCCTACTGATCCACCACCATCGGAACCACAAACCAACCCACCAACCCACACTTCAGCACCACTCGGCGCGGTGTCCTTCCGAGTTCCGGACGGCGACAGTGAAAATTCTGA